GGAGTACTGCTGCACATTGACAGCCCCTTTCAAAGCTGGAGAAATTGCTGACCTGGAGAGCGTGCAGAGATCCTTCACTGCATAGAATCCACTCAGTAGTGGACTTACAGTCTCCGTGGTGTAGTGGTAAGACACTCGCCTGGCGTTCGGCGAGCGCTATGTCATGGGTTCGTATCCTGGCCGGGGAGGATTTACTGTGCGCAATTCCTTAACTGTAGCCTCTGTTTAACGCAACAGTAAAATGTGTACTTGGATGAAAAAACGATTCTTCGCGGCGGGGATCGTATTCCAGGGGCCTGCCCGAAACGCTACGCGTACTACTGGCTGTACAAGAATGTAACAACTCTTGTATATATCTCAAAAAAAAGAGTAAAACATCTAAACTATTGGGACCGACTAAAGAGCCTAAATCTGTACTCCCTTGAGCGCAGGCGGGAGAGATACATAATAACTTACACGTGGAAAATATTAGAGAGGCTGGTCCCAAACCTGCACACAGAAATAACATCACATGAGGCCAGAAGACAAAGCAGGATGTGCAGAATACCCCCGTTGAAAAGCAGAGGTGCAACAGGTACTCTGAGAGAGAACTCTATCAACATCAGAGGTACGAGACTGTTCAACACGCTTCCGCTACACATAAGGGGCATAACTGGCAATCCCCTCACAGTGTTCAAGAGAGAACTGAATAAGCACCTCCAAAGGATACCTGATCAACCAGGCTGTGACTCATACGTCAGGCTGCGAGCAGCCGCGTCCAACAGCCTGGTTGATCAGTCCAGCAACCAGGAGGCCTGGTCGACGACCGGGCCGCGGGGACGCTAAGCCCCGGAAGCACCTCAAGGTAACCTCAAGGTAGGGGTTGTGAGGTGGACGTTATAGGAAAGGGTTAAGAGGGCAGGTGGATGATATAGGGAGGGGTTGAGAGGGCAGGTGGATGATATAGCGTGGGGTTGAGAGGGCAGGTGGGTGATATATGGAGGGGTAGTGAGGGCAAGTGGATGATATATGGAAGGATAGTGAGGGAAGGTGAATGATATAGGAGATTGGTTGTGAGGGCAGGTGGATGATATATGGAAGGGGAAGTGAGGGCAAGTGGATGATATAGGGAGGGGTTGTGAGGGCAGGTGGATGTTATAGGAAAGGGTTGAGAGGGCAGGGGGATAATATAGGAAGTTTTTTTTTAATATTATTATTTTCTTCCACAGACGTGGCCACACATTTACAATGCTAACCAACATATATACATTTTCTTCTGTCCTCCATGCACAAGGCTAGAGGTGTGTTAAACATATAGTTCAAGGGTTTATTGAACAATCAACCACAAAAGGTGATTCGGTGCTTTTAATGCTAAGCTAACCTACATACATAAATACATAGATACACAGATTTACGTATGCCCTACATAAAGTGTTCGATGTGTCTTTTATATAGTGTCATTAATGTGCATTTACAAAGGTGAAATGTATTTCTGATCAGCTTCCATGTATATTTTATAAACATACATATACAAACACACACATATACGTTTATATACATATATACACACACACATGCATTCACATACATTTGTCTCATTTACTCTGACAGGGTGAAATAGCTGATATAGAAACTAGTGTGCAATTAAGCACTTAATCACTGAAGGTGATTAAGGTGCTCTTACAAGTTCAGGTTATATAGTTACATCACATATATACATTGTATAATTGATACATTACATGGTCAATCTTGGGTACAAGTCCACTAAATCATCAGGTGTTCCAGTACTCATATAGTAATTACAGAGTTTAGCATACTTTAGCCCAGGAGGCCGAAAGTCAGTCAACATGGGACATTCTGTAATATAATGTTCAAGAAAGTGCATGTTTTCTCTTTCACAAAGTTGACACATTGTGTACTCGACATTTGGATTTTGAGAAAGCTGCCAGATACGTCTATATCCCAGGCGTATTCTGGCCACTATAACATCACATTGCCGGGTTCTTGTTCTATTAGTCCCATATGTGAATGTCTCCTCACGATATCTATCATAATATTTAATGCTACAACTTTCTGTTCTTTGAGAATTTGTTAGGTCGGTGAGATCTTCATTAGATATTTGTTTAAGTATTCTCTTTGTCACTGCTAATGAAACACCCATATCAATTTCTACCACTGGTTTTCTACAGGCTGACTTAGCAAGCATATCAACAGTGTCATGCCTTGAGATGCCAACATTTTATGGTATCCATAGGAATTTAATTTCAAGTCTGTTTTCTTTTGCAGCTAAAACATTCATTCGAATATCACTGACTATTTTCTGGGCGTCACTACTATGTGAGTTCTATGTCAGGAGAGCACTCTGCGAGTCACAGTATATGAGTCCACTGCCTTTGTCTTTTTAAATTCAGTGGCAAGGGCCCAGATTCATGAAGCAGTTACGCAAGTACTTACGAACGTGTACATCTTTCCTAAATATTTGACGGCTTTGTTTACTTTTACTAAACAGTTTACAAGCATGCAAACTTCATAATCAACTGTTGTTATTGTTATAAACAGCCTCCTGGTGCTTCGGAGCTCATTAACTGTTTAATAATTGTAAACAAAGCCGCCAAAGATTGAGAAAAGATGTACAGGTTCGTAAGTGCTTGCCTAACTGCTTCGTGAATCTGGCCCCGAGTATATGCCTCGGGGGCATATACCCTCATCAGCATCTTGTGGTTTGTGGTTTGAGTTGTATTTGCCCAGTTATTGACGCGCTTCATTGCTGTATGTACGAGAGAAGATTGTTCAAATATGTTACATGCACATCCGGTACATCGTCCACCTTCTTCTACAGAGCCGTCGGTATAGCACTGATACGCATCGTTACCCATACTCTGAGTACTTTCAGTGATGCTTTTCAGTGTTAACTGTTTTAATAATGTAGAGTGCACACTACCTTTCTTGGGCGCATTTACAAAATCAACTGATAGATCCCAGTTATCCCATGGAGTAATTGGTTGATTAATCATTAATTGAGTTGGGTACATATTTAATATTTTGATGGAGTTGGTTACCTTGTAGACCCAAAATACATAATCAGATTTCGTTCTTCTTCTATAGACCTCAGGTGAGTGCAGCATATTAGAAAGTTCAGCTTGAAACTTCATGTGTTATCTAGATCTACTCAATGCCTTCACGCTGAAAACTGTGCTAATAGACAAAATTCTCTCACTTATGGTAGGTAATTTTAACTCTGCTCTCAAATTAACTATTCTCGTGGACTTTGGAGCCCCAAGGATGAGACGCATAGCTTCAATTTGCAAGGTTTGAAGAGATTTCAGCTCTTTGTTTGTATACAGTGTGGGATGTAGAGCATTGTAGTCAATCACACAGCGTATAAATGATACATAAAACATTCTAGCAAGTCTCACAATAATTCCATGATTGACACCAACAAGGACCCGCAAGGGCTTTAATCTCTACCAGAGTCTCCTCTTGAGAGAAGAAAGGTACCCAGGGTCGTTAATGGGGACACCAAGGTATTTGTAAGACTCGCAGTTCTCAAGTGCTCGCCCATCTATATGATAATTGGCTGGTGGAATACCACACGGAATGAGGGCACGAATTTTCTGTACAGAGATAAGGAGGCCACATTCCTCAGCTCTAGTAGCAAAAGCATAGAACAGAACTTGCATTCTAGGCTCGGTGGCAGCCTGTAAACATATATCATCAGCATAACACATGACAGTGTCTTCATTATTAGTTGGAAGATCTTTAATAAGTTTATGCATCAGAACGTTGAACAACAAGGTGCTTAGGACCCCTCCTTGTGGAGTTCCCAGTTCAAAGTGTTTGCTCTCTGTGCTTTTAACACCATTAAACAAAACATATGCTGTTCGATTAGACAAATAGCCCTTTATCCATTTCAATACTTTTCCTTGTATTCCCAGCTCGGCAAGCTGTTCCAGTATGATTTCTCTGTTTGCTGTATCAAAAGCTGCAGCTAGGTCGATGAAGAATGAGGGGAAGCTTCAATATGAGCGAAGTACTCAGCAAAACAGTGTTGTGTACTGAGCCCAGGCATAAATCCAAATAGTTGGGGTGACAGGTGCCTCTGTATACGATACATGAGTCGGTTAAGAACGATACGTTCAAGCACTTTACAAACACACGATGTTTGAGATATAGGTCTATAATTATCTGAGTGTGGTTTGGGGATGGGAACAATGACATTCTTTGTCCAAGCATCAGCTAATACTCCTTCACTTAAACTCATTCTATACAACACTAAAAGTGGATTACCTGGTACGTGTGAGACTAATCTCAGTAGACTGTAAGTAATACCATCCTCTCCAGGAGCAGTTGATTTTCCCATCTTTAGTGCATGATTTAATTCCCATTCAGTTACATCATTAAGGTCCGACACGTCGATAGCTGTACAGGCAAGATTGATGGTTGGTTGTCTGTTGGGGCGTGTGTCATTAAGTTTATGCTGTATGTTAATTGGGAGTGAGTCGTAGCTCGATGTTAGTGCCCATTGATCAAGGAGGATGTTTGCTTATTCCAGTGGGCTGTGGTGCAGCGGTTTGGTTGGGTTGCTTCTAGAGATTTTTCGTATCTTTTCCCAAACTTCAACAAGTGTTGTTTGCTTATTTATACTTTGCAGGAACTTTCCCAATGTTTATTACGTATAACGTTACTCATGTCTCTCACCTCTCTATTTGCAACTAGAAATGCATGCAAGTCACCTTGTGCTTTGGTTCGTTTGTTTGTATCTCTAAGCTGCTTTACTCGTTCATGTTCTTTAACAAATACGGGGTCAAGGACCCACTTGGGTGGTGGTAGGTGTTGTCCACTTCTGCTAGGCTTACAGCCTGTTCCCCAACACACCCATGTGTTGTAGTAGATTGCCTGCTTGCTCGTTGCAGGGTGTGGTCTCGGCGTTGGCGCTCTCTCAGTTGTTGGCTGACATTTGGTGCGAGCAGGTCGCTGTTGTTGTGTGGTGTGCCGGCTAGCCTGTGGGGACGGCTGGCGTTATGGCGTCGTCAGTGACGCGGATTCGGAGGGTGGATTCCGCGGGTTTGGAGTTCTCAGCGGCTGCTGATTGGACGTTGGTGGAGGTGGCACCTTTGGATGTTTTTTGGGTGGACCTGCATTCTCTTTATGGCCTTGAAAAGATCTCTGACAGGCATGTGGTGGTCAAGCTCTCTGCCCCTGGTCCATATCAGCGCTTCGTGAGTGATTTTTCTGGGTGTTCTTTCTAGCTCCCAGGCTCTGCTGGTATTGTGGAGGTGTCGGACCGGTGTGTGGCGCCGACGTTTGTAAGCATCCATGGAGTTCCCTTGGACTTTCCCAAAGAGGTCCTTCGCGCCTGCTTCTCTCGGTTCGGTACTGTGTTCACTCACCGTATAACTTTTCTCCGCTCAGGCCTCCTGTCGGGCTTGAGAACCAACGTGTGGAACCTTGGCATGCGCTTGACACGTGATATTCCATCTCAGGTCTCGTTCCACGGCTTTAACTTGCGGGTATTCTATGAGGATCAACCGCGCACCTGTTTTAGGTGTGGCTTGCGAGGGCATCTTGTGGCCGGTTGCACTGCTTTCGGGGTGGGGAGGCCAGCCCTCTTTCAGGATGGTGATTTTCCACCATTGGGGGTTGGGGGGGCCAAGCCGGGTGTTGCGGAGGCCGTGAGTGTCCCCCGCGATCCATCCCTGTTGTTGGTGCCTTCTGATTTGAATGTTCCTACTCCCGCTGTTCAGCAGTTTGGCCCACCTGGCCCGTTAGTGTCTGATGCGGCAGCCTCGCTTCCTGTGCACGTCATCACTGCGGAGGTTTATCGGGATTCAACTGTTGCTGACGTGGAGTCGGGTACGCCTGTGGCAGCTGCTCCGTCTGGTGTAGGTGGGAGTGGCGATCCTGCGGGTCCTCCGTGTGGTGTTGCTCCCTCGTCAGGTGGCCGTGCATCCGACGTGGTTGCTGCTGCTCCGGTGGCGCTGCGTTCCTCTAGTGGCTCTAGAGGGCCTTTCCTGGTCGCGGCGTCGGATCAGCCCATCGTAAGCGGGAGGCACGGACGCGTTCCTCGGACAATGGTCCTCCCGTCATGCGATGGGGAGGGTCTTCGGCTGGGGCTGCTGTGGTGTGCGCCCTTCCTCCTTCCTCTGGTGGCCTGCTGGGGTCTGTTGCTCCCGAGGCTCCATCTGGGGGCAGTGAAGCCCCGAAGGTGGTTGTGGATGTTCAGTGGGTGGTGTCCACTGATGTGGAAGAAATTGGACGGGATGCGCTGACTCTGAAGTTTGCGAAGTCTAGGAAGAGTGTGGGCGCCGACGTTCCTGTGGCGTCCTTCGCTACAGGGTTGCCAGATGATGCGCCTACTGTTACTGCTGCCTTCCCTGTGAGGGGCTCTGGTGCGCCTTCGCAGGGGACTGTGGGGTTAGTGGGGTCCTGATTGCCCTTCCTGATGGCGCACTCACGTCCCATTGAGGTGTTTTCACCCTTCGAGTGTTTTTTGTGTGTTAGTGTGTGTGTGTGTGTGTGTGTGTGTGTGTGTGTGTGTGTGTGTGTGTGTGTGTGTGTGTGTGTGTGTGTATGTGTGTGTGCATGGGTGGGTGTTAGGGGGGGGCCGGGTTTGTTTTCCCGGTTCATGTGTGCTCCGTGCTTGTTGTGTGGTTGTTGCTGCCCATCGGGCTGCATGTGTGGCCCTTTACAACTGTAGTGTTATTTTCCTTTAGTTTTTGTTGTTCATTTTTGTGTTTCAATGATTTTTTTGTCGTTATGTTTTCCTGCCTCTCCGTACCCGGGGCCGGTAGGCTTTTGTTCACTGGTTGGGTGTTGGGTGTTGACCCCATCTGTTTCTTGAGTTGAAGCAATTTGTTGGATGACAAACGCTAGTCAGCTGTTACATAACTAAGGATGATCTTGCAGACACTGGACATTTGACCCTCTTATAAACCGACTGCTGGGTGGACAGCGCTTCGGATTCGTAGTTCCGAGGTTCCGGGTTCGATCCCCGGTGGAGGTGGAGACAAATGGGCAAAATGTTTCTTTCACCCTGATGCCCCTGTTACCTAGCAGTAAATAGGTACCTGGGAGTTAGACAGCTGCTACGGGCTGCTTCCTGGGGATGTGTAACAAACAGGAGGCCTGGTCGAGGACCGGGCCGCGGGGACACTTAGTCCCGAAGTCGTCTCAAGATAACCTGAAGATTGGGTGCACGGTTAGGTTCTTTGTACTTGTACTGTTTTTGTTGTCAGCCCTTCAGGCCTGTAATTTGTATGTAATTTTGTACTTTTGGGATTTTGTGTACGTTGTGTTGTGTGTTTGTTCTCGTGTTATTGTCCTTGTACGCGTGCTTACATGTAACGCTTTCATTATCCTCCTCTATTGTATTGCTGTTAATTTTGCACTGTGTTGCATTGTGTTTATGCTCATTGTTGTCGGCCCTTCAGGACGGTATTTAGTGTATTTGTATTTCTGTGTTTTGTGCTTTAGTAATTTGTTTGTTCTGTTCGTTTGTTCTTGTTTTATTGTATTTATTCGTATGTACGCATGTAAAAAAAAAGTGTCGTAGTAGGTAGTAATTGAATCAACGAGATCTCTGGAGAAGGCTTCTACATTCGTTATTGTGTAATCTTGATACCATTTTGATATACAATTAATAAAGTGGTCATGCAAGCCATATGGAATATTCATTTTCCGTCTCTGATGTCTATTAGGTACATCACACTGTACCTCATAGGAAGCAGAAACTGCATAGTGATCATTAACCAAGTGATTTACCAACGAACTTTCCATCCTATCTTGCACAAGGTTTCTACCCATTACATAATCAAGTCTGCCTCCCAATAAATGAGTTTGGGTATCCGTAGTATACACGGTTAATCTGTTGTCATAAACATATTTTATAAATATGCATCCATTATCGTTGTTAGTAATGTCTCCCAGCGTGATATGTAGGAAGGGGTTGAGAAGGCAGATGGATGATATAGGAAGGGATTGAGAGGGCAGGTGGATAATATATGGAGGGGTTGTGAGGGCAGTTGGATGATATATAGAGGGGTAGTGAGGGAAAGTGGATGATATAAAGGAGGGGTTGTGAGGGCAGATGGATGATATAGGAAGGGGTTGTGAGGGCAGGTGGATGATATAGGAAGGGGTTGCGAGGGCAGGTGGATGATATAGGAAGGGGGTTAAGAGGGCAGGTGGATGATGTAGGAAGGGGATGTGAAGGCAGGTGGATGATATAGGAAGGGCTGTGAGAGGAAGTGATTGAACAAGTTTCTTGTTATGTTTTGCCCCGAGGGGCGAGTTTATTGGGCAGCGCCACTCATCTTGTGAGTGGACACACCGCCATAGCAGCATGTACAACACTCCCCAATAGGAAGAAAACCCGCTGGATTGTTCATCCTGTCACTTGTTCCCAGACACTACTGGGACTTGCTTAACTGTCTCAGGTGAACAGCTCCTCAAACAAAAAGATTAACATTTGTTAACTCTTAAAATTTACGATGTCTTGCGGGTGCAAAATGTGGGAATCATGTAACAACAGTATCTATATTTTACAAATAGTACTTTGCTAACTCAAACAATGTGGGATTGATTATTCTACGCATATTTCTAACGTGTCTTAGATGTTGGCATTGTCTCAGGTAGTGGTGAGGGCGGTGTCTGTCACTCTCACCTCAGATGCTGCGCTGTTCACCTCTTGTTTCCATCACGAATCTCCATGGATATATATCACCCAAGAATGATATAGTGAGGGCTGTGAGGGGAGGTGAATGATATAGTGAGGGCTGTGAGGGGAGGTGAATGATATAGTGAGGGCTGTGAGGGGAGGTGAATGATATAGTGAGGGTTGTGAGGGGAGGTGAATGATATAATGAGGGCTGTGAGGGGAGGAAGATAACTACTCGTGAATCAAGCAAGGCAAGCAGCACAGAGGAAAATAAATGCAAAGTGCGCAAATATATCACATCACAAAACTTGCTTGGCTACTGATAAACATTTCCTGCCCAGCAGCTCACTAACTCAATATAACCGATGGCAGCTTAGTCGTGGCCACACGGCCCTCAGGCACCAACGGTGTCTCCAGGCTCATACCTACATGGTATACGTAGACAAACACCTAGAATAAGCATGATGAAGCAACTACGGCTCATATCTCCTGTCCCAGGGTGGCATAGACTCACGCCTCGTGGCATAGACTTACGCCTCGTGGCATAGACACGCCTCGTGGCATAGACTCACGCCTCGTGGCATAGACTCACGCCTCGTGGCATAGACTCACGCCTCGTGGCATAGACTTACGCCTCGTGGCATAGACTCACGCCTCGTGGCATAGACTCACGCCTCGTGGCATAGACTTACGCCTCGTGGCATAGACTCACGCCTCGTGGCATAGACTCACGCCTCGTGGCATAGACTCACGCCTCGTGGCATAGACTCACGCCTCGTGGCATAGACTCACGCCTCGTGGCATAGACTCACGCCTTGTGGCATAGACTCACGCCTCGTGGCATAGACTCACGCCTCGTGGCATAGACTCACGCCTCGTGGCATAGACTCACGCCTCAGGGTGGCATAGATGGATTCACGTTTCAAGGTGGAATGGATTCACGGCCTTGGATAAGATGAATTCTCAGAGTATGGCCCAAATAGATTCAAGGACGATTGTGGTGGCTATGATTCAGTCAACCCGTCTTCAGACCAAGTCCATCCCATCCAGCGGTCGACCCCAAAGACACATTCATAATTTTAACATTCTGTTCATTCAAAACAGAACTTTTCTCAAATTTAAATTAATGTTAATATATATTAGCATATTGTGTATATTTAGGCACTAGTTAAGTTAGGTGTTTAGGTTCTGTTGGCGATTATTTGTATTTGTAGTACGTAGGTGAAGCATTTATAGCGTTGTGATTCGAACAAAATTCGTCAGTGAAGCACTTGTTCCGGATATGTTCGAACGTCAGCAGTTGTGAGTCGTGTGTAAACCGTTTTTCATTCATAAACAGGGCGTTTGGCGGGTGCATGGAATGGACTTTGGGTCTTTGTTTGGAGAACAGACTGGATTCAACCCAGCAACAGTCTATGTTCAGTCCCTCTAGTGGGCAACCCCAATCACATATTCATCAAGTTCTTAACGCATTTTATTCAAGTTCAACACGCAGTTTATTCAAAATTTTCGCAGTTATATATTAATATTGTTATATATTAGAATATTGTAACTACTTAGCTGTAAATTGGGTTAGGTGTGTAGGTCTTATTGCTCTTTATATGGGTGGTGAGGCATTTACAGAGTTGCGAGTCGACCACAGGTCGTCAGCAAGGCACTGTATGAGAACTGTTCCAACCTGATCAGCTGCGACTCGTGTGTAAAGCGTATTTCATTCCTAACCCCAGAGTTTAGCGGCTGAATGGAATGAACATTTGGCCTTTGTTGGTGAGGACGGGCTGGTTGATGAGGACGGGCTGGTTGGTGAGGACGGGCTGGTTGGTGAGGACGGGCTGGTTGATGAGGACGGGCTGGTGGTTGGTGAGGACGGGCTGGTTGATGAGGACGGGCTGGTTGATGAGGACGGGCTGGTTGATGAGGACGGGCTGGTTGATGAGGACGGGCTGGTTGATGAGGACGGGCTGGTTGATGAGGACGGGCTGGTTGGTGAGGACGGGCTGGTTGGTGAGGACGGGCTGGTTGATGAGGACGGGCTGGTGGTTGGTGAGGACGGGCTGGTTGATGAGGACGGGCTGGTTGATGAGGACGGGCTGGTTGATGAGGACGGGCTGGTTGATGAGGACGGGCTGGTTGATGAGGACGGGCTGGTTGGTGAGGACGGGCTGGTTGATGAGGACGGGCTGGTTGATGAGGACGGGCTGGTTGGTGAGGACGGGCTGGTTGGCGAGGACGGGCTGGTTGATGAGGACGGGCTGGTTGATGAGGACGGGCTGGTTGATGAGGACGGGCTGGTTGATGAGGACGGGCTGGTTGATGAGGACGGGCTGGTTGATGAGGACGGGCTGGTTGGTGAGGACGGGCTGGTTGGTGAGGACGGGCTGG